CAGTGCTTTGTAAACACATGAGGAAGGATCGCGTTTCGGCAGTGTTTTCAGTAAACACAGTTTTACAAGAGTTAGGATTGGAGAGTATGGTTCAGGTTGGGTGAGCGCATCTTGTAGGAAGTGTTCCTTTGTGTAACAGTGACCCTGGCACACAAAGGTATCCACAAAACCAGGTTAAATCCCAGGCACACAAACAATAGGAAAGGGAAAGGTGTTCATACCTTGGGGCACCTGGGGGACGGTGGCGTATAACACACCTGCCTTCTCAGGTATGCTGTCAGGTAATTACCTGTTTTGTTGAGCTTAAGACATAGTCTGGTCCCTGTCACTGTTGGAACTGACACTACACAGATTGGTACCATTGTACGAGTACAAGCACACAACTACATAGCCTCAGATTTGTCACATTACATGCATAGCCAGGCAGGAAGAAAGTAAGCTCTATCCCTTCTCATTCTCTACAATATAGCTTCAAGCTTTCTAGACTCTACCTACAAGTACAGAGTATAGAATATTGGACAACAGCAACTTTCGATTGCCTCCACTCTCAGAACATAGCAACCACGGAACACGGCGACCACGGAACAATAGAAAACTATGGGAATCCGCCAAAGAACAAAGGAATTCACCGGAGGAGTTCAAGTGGAAGGGAATCCATTCTGCAAGGTGGGCCACTGCCATTGTTGTAAAGTTTGTATTTTCAGCTGTTCTTGTATTGTTCAGACAGCATATGTGTTGCTCTGATGACCTTCTAGTATGTATGTGGGTGGGATAGATGTCTGTCTGACTGTTCCAACTTGCCAGATGTTGTGCGTCTGAGAGTATGTACCACTAATTAACATCATTATTATGTTTAGCAATACATAGTTCTATTATCATATTAGGAGCTTAAGTGTAACAGACCAATAACACACATAGAAGATGTTATGACCTACCATGCTCCATGTAACTATAATGGTACAAGTTGTATCTTCAACAATTTGAGCCACTTATAATATTTTATCAAACATCATAATTGTATATGTTGTATATACATATACTTTATGATGTGCAACTGATATGAAGGTTTAAGATAATTTTGATATAGATCAATTAAACCAGACTATCTAAAATTATGTACCTTCTACAAATGTTAGTAATATGGGATCCATGCTAACATACCTCTTTTAGTGAGTGAAATAATGTTTTGAGTTTAGCTTGCATATAAAATGTGTTGAGGAACCAGTCAGATGTCTGGTCACTCAGAAGTTGCAGCCTGTATATTCAGTTTACTAATAGTTACTTTCGCAGGGGATTATTTTCGGTATTCTCGGCTTTCACTGTATTTCCAATTGTTTGAAACAGTCCACGGTACAGTAGTAATGCATACTTACGGGTCCCAAATTTGCATTGAAGAGGTCATCTAAAAAACAAAACCACCGCACAAGTTTCAAGATTCACGGTACCACAGATCTACATTTAGAACTGTAACATATGATGAGGAGTTTTTTCTACCGCAAAGTTTCCAGACTCAGGGTAGCACAGATCTGTAAGTGTGACGTGTGAGGAGTGACTGCAGCAGACAGGTTTGACAGACAGGTGTCAAGTGACCTTAACCTTGTCTCTAGAGCTCCCTCTCTATCCACACAAGCTGCTGCCTAAACAACTTAAAGTGGTTTCCTCCTAATCACAACATCCACAACACTACACGAGTCTTCACTTCATCCGTAACCATTATGAAAACATAACTTACGCTAGCACAGACAGTAGTCAAGGAAAATCTATCAACAGTTGTAAAATGTGCATCTAATGCTGTACAGTCTTGCATTACTGGGAATAATTCTAATGATAAGAAGTCTTCAGCTCACATTTTCTCTTCAGCCGTAACCATTATGAAAATATTAGTTATGCTAGCACAGACAATAGCTGAGGAAAATCTACCAATGGTCATAAATGCACATCTAATACCAGTGGTAGAAAAACTTTTTTTAGAATACTGCAATGTTGCAGAATGTCCAAATTTTGTTCTGCAATTTGGAAATACTTTATGCAACTTCAAAGTCCCATGGCATATACAAAATTGCATGTTGGCAAATATTTCACAAAATTACTTGTTGTGAATGTATACATGTATCATAGTATCATAGTAAACACGAAAGCTCTTAAACGTCATTGAACCCCTTGCCTGATTTTTTCAGTCTGCGAAATTGCAGGTTGCTTAATGTCTCTGCAGAATGCAGACTGCAGATAACAGTACTTCTAGCACTGAATACTGTTGAGTTTCGTGAGTCTGGGAAGGATTTCTGTGCAGTACTAGACAGGCACTGGCCAAAGATGCTTCAGTGGTGAGACAGACCTGGACTAACGCTCCGGAACAAACAATGGGAGAATCCCTGACCCTGTCAACCCCAGCGTACCTGACCTGGCAGGGAAACGTAGCTCGGATTTAGTTGTTAGATAGTGGCAGGCACAGCTTCTTCAGCATAAGAGTATATAGCCTCCGTAGCAGGCTTATAGAACTGGGGGGTTTGGTGGTCTTCGGCTGTTTTCTGATAAGCCCAGTTCAAAAAAACGGGGGTAATTCAACCAGGCCGGCTATGTTGTCTATATGCATTCAGAAAATAGCACATAAAAGCTCCCAAAGACCCTGAAGACCTGTCGGGAAACGTAGCTCGGATTTAGTTGTTAGATAGTGACTGGCACGGCTCTCTTCCTCAGCATAAGGGTATATGTAATGTATGTTGCTACATTCAGAAAATACTACACTGTCCAAATCAATGTATTTGATATCATTGCCTTATATACTGTATAGCTGCTAGTAATGCTTGGGGCACATTTCCAAACTGGGAACCGGTCAGGCTGCTTGCGTGAATAAAGAACAAACTATTCATATCGAATATATACACTGTATATATATATATGAGTACTATCAAATATTACACTGTATATATTTGATAGTACTCATGGTTTTTCAACATTTTGTGTTTGTTGTCTTTTTACTCACTTGTATGTCCTGGAAACTGCCTGGCTGGGCCCTGGGCTGGGAATTGTGACCTAAGCGTAAGATTCATACATGTACATGCATAGTGGGTTGATAGCATAAACCAAAACTGTGTATGGACAGAATTGGCTGTTGAAGCTGGGTCTTTCAGTCTGTGAAAAGTGAGCAATCTTTTTTTATCGAGACTCAGATAATCACAAAAAGAGCCTCTAATACGATAATAATGAGAAAGGTGAGGACCCCATGTGGTGAAAATCACAGTCGTTCCCGCCGATAGGATGAGCATTAAAACCATTTTACACACAAAGTGGCAGAGTGGCTAGGTGAGCAGACACAAGATCGAGAGGTCATGGGTTCAATTCTTGACTGGTCGTTGTGTCTTTTGGAAAATGCACTTTACATGACTTTCCTCACTCCACCTAGGTGTAAAATGGGTACCTGACTTATTGGGGACGAGGTAAAAAGTGGTGAAATAAGCACGTCGGCAGAACGTACTGCACCTGCGCGAAACCCATAATGTATTGTACATAGCACTTCGGCAGAATGTCTCATATAAGGTTGTATTCGCTCATATAAGGTCAGCATTTCGATAGCAGTTACCAAATGTTGTGTCGGAAAAGATATCTTCTGCAACAGTCAAAATTTTAATGCAACGTTGACCAAAAATCCAACGAAAAACGCAAAAATGCAGGGTTCTGCGCAGGCGCAGTACGTTCTGCCGACGTGCTGGTGAAATACTGCCCTAGACACAGTACATCAACAAACCACAGCCCCTATGTATGGCATCAAAAAGGCTATCTTAACCTTTTTACTCATTTCTGACTGGTTTTTAAAAAAGAAAACAATGATCTTATCTCAAAAGATTTAAACATGGAGGATAATAGGGATGATTGAACATTAAATGGATCATCATGACAGATTTGCAAGACAAGATTACATCATTCATACCAAATTTTACAGAGATCATTATATGAAACATTGGTTATGTTTCACTCACAGTGTTCTATAATATCCTTATCTAGTTAACAAATCAGACATAATGTTTAAAGCGTCTACCTGTTATAGTAAGGAGATTGATCTATTTTGTAAACATACAGCACCAGTAAATCAACCTCGGCTGCCACTGTTGCATGTTCCTGTGGTTAGATCACAACTGACTCCGTAGCGTGACTGTCGGATTACACACCCTGCCGGATAATCCACCGTCAACACTAAACTGTAAAACGATACTTTCCCAGCACAGATTTATAGATTAGTCCAGGATAATACACTCCTACATGACGACGGCAATATACCGTCGACGGGAAAATCTTTGTAACGGAGACAGGTGTTTGTGTGTATATATGACAGCCTGGCATACCTGCTTTACAGGAGAAAACCCCAAGGGTTCACCTGTTTTCATACTCTCATCTCTCATCTCCTCTATCCCTTAGTCTTTTAAAGCAATCGACCGTTGGGGCATCAGAGATGATGTGACAACCAGTTTTCTCCTCCCTTCTCGGTTTTCTGTTCATCTTAACCTTTCACTTAGTACTTAGTAGTGTCATGCTGGTCTATTTTCTGATATTATCATTCCTGAAAATAATTTCATCAGGTTGGCAGAACAGAGGAGTTTTCTTTCACACAAAAAGGAGTGTCTCTCACCTGTTTGTGTATATGTATAGAGCTTCAACAGTGATTTATTATTTTCTATATCCTGTATAATCATACACAGTTCTACAATGTGCAAAGGTTCTGCACTGCAAGTACTGCACACCTCAAAAAACTCAACATCCCTCTGTCTAAATATGCAGGCTATACAATATACATGCCGGTAATAGAGTGCTTGTCTTGTAGACAGTAGATTGTGGGTTTAAAGTATACAATACTTTTTTTTTGTAGATGTATGTTGCTGATTTCAGCAATGACACAGAAATACATATATCTCTCTTACCCTGCAACTGCTTACCTGTAGATTGTAGGACCTGAAAACAGGCATCAACAGAAAGTAGAAGTTACGGGAGAGCTAGAGAGACCTTACCCAGTGTCTGTAGAAGAGTTTGAGTTGTTCCCACTCTGAGCTCGGAGTCTTAATCGTGGTCCACTCGTGGTCGGTAAACTGTCGCCTCATTGTGCGAAAGAACTCGGGGACATCACCTCGATCTGGGGCAAATTAAATAACACATGAAATACAAGAGTTTGCACAAGAAAACTGTTACTCAAGCAACTGGATAGATTTTAAAAACTGTCAGATGTATCAAGTAGCATTCACTACTTTTCGTCGGTGACTGGAAACATCTTTAAACGTCTAATGACATTTGCAAGCTAGGTTATACTAAAACAAAGTAAAAGTCATGTTACTCATTTTGTCAGGCATATTGTTTCCTTTTACTTCAAACAGGAACAAATTCATAATAAATACATCATATAATTTCATATCGGATTTTTATTTTCCCATGTAATGCAAATAATCATAAGATCATAACTGGGCAACAACAGAATTCATCATTTACTAGTATTGACTCTTTACAGTGCATTTGTTAATAAATAAAAAAGGGTTTCAAAACTGTGCCCAGATTTTTATTTTTCCATATAAGGCAAACAATCATAAAGTCATAACTGGGCAACAACAAAATGTAATTTTTATTAACCTATTGACTCTTTACAGTACATTTGTTAATAATAACTGAAAAGAGGTCTGAACACTGTGCCCAAAGGCAATGAAATATGCAAACTAGCACATTGTGCCAGCCTGAGCCATTCCACAGTTCACTGCACAACAATGGATCGGGTGAGTGCATGGGGGCTAAAGGCGACATATGATGACCCTAATTGGTTGTAATGAGTTTGCGATTACACTCACTTGACTCCCTGTTTTTAAAGACAAGCATGAAATATTAATTGGCCAGACTGGAGTGGTATGTTTGTCTTGCTAAATAGTTGCAAGTAAGTGACTGTGATGTCACAATTTTTTAGTGAAGTCTGGGAGGGAATAGACTTTTTTTGTGTGTTTGAAAGTTGACAATAGGTAAAAAGAGTTTGCAAAATATATTTGTTTCTTGTGTTAAATCCGAAAATAATACATTAACTTTTGTATTACAAACATGATGGGCTAAATTGTATATCTAAGGTGATGTATACTATACGACCAAATCACATACTAGTATTATGTTCCTTTAAGTGCTAACATCAAAAGGTATCTGAATTATTCTGTAGTTTGGATGTTGACTCTAACAACATGCTAATAAAATCTTGTACATATTTCATAACTTCCAAGTGATTAATATGCAGAAGCATATTAATAATTGTCAATAATTGACTTGTAAATACAAAAGCTGAAATCAGCATTAAAGCTATAATTGTTTATGCCACATTTTCATCAGCTTTCCCTTCAAAACTACATTGTACCTAACTACACACTTCTGGTAAGGTTCAACAAAGAGTGCCAAGAAATTAATTTGGCTTATCATAATTACTGATTAGTATCTAACCTTTTCAATTATAATCATACTGTGTATTGTAGTGTGCTGGCAACAGTTTATAGTATAGCTACACTTCTTGGGTGTCTAATTTTTCACTCTCAATTATACTTGAAGGGCGGCACTGAGGTTTAGCTAGACTGGCGTCGCCAATGTTAACTGTCCTTCACTGGTCACATATAAAGGCTGCATTCCTGTATGATGCTATCTGTTACTGAGTCTAGTCTGTTAGAATGGAGATGTCACTCCCATTATCAGGTGTAGTCTTGCAGAAGGTATAACAAATCTCTTGAGAACTACATATTAGAAGTTCAGTAGAAGTTCAACAGCAGTGCAGCCATATGCATAGTCTACCAGACTAACTACACTGGCTAGATATATGTAGGAGAATATTTGCCGGGGGAGTTTGGCCACCTTGTAGGTTTGACTAGGCCGCGGAGGGAAAGAAACTACCTCCCCGTGGCCTGACTCCCTTGGCCCATTTATTCTCTTTTTTGCCGAATTCTACGATCCGTATTCCTGTAGAAAGGCCTGGTGGAGGCTACCATATGCAGGGCTTGTAGTACTTTTTTTTTCTGCATACGTCGATGAAGGTTAGACATTCCAGGTAAATAAGATATGCCAAAAAGCAGTTACTCAAGCAACTGGATATGATTTTGGAAACGGTCAGACGTTTCAGCTAGTATCCACTACCTTTTGTCAGTGACTGAGAGACCAGAGGAGAAATGCAGGTTTATAAGCTGAACCAGGTAACATTGAAAATTACCTGCACCAGACAAAATTTAGCTGCACTCTCTGCAAAATTCAGAACTGAAGAAATATTGGATCAAACTAAAAAACTGTTTACAAGGCATAAGCCATTATTCCCATGACCACCCCAGATGGTACAAGTGGATGGATAAAGTAAGTAAGCCATTACTAGTATTTCTATGTGTATGTTATTACATGAATATATAGGTAGTACTCTCAGAGATATGTTCAAATTGGTCCCAAGTTCAAATCCTACCATGCCAAAGATCTTGAGCCCTTGGGAAAGGCACTTAACACAAATTTCCTCACTTTACTCAGGTGAAAATGAGTATCTCTGTTGTCTGTGCGTTTGTCTGCGTTGGTGGCGGCATAAAAATAAGTTGAAAAAACTTGAGTGTGCCGTCGCAATATCTTGTGATAAATATTCAAATAGAAAAAAAAAACTAACCTGATATCAGTAACTTTTTCCCCAGTGAATAAGGAAACATGTACCTTAATGAAAGGATGGACACAGCATTGGGTCATACATGCCACACATACCTCATTAGTAACCCCCAGAGTTGACGCCGGGGTTACCGCTAGTTTAATGGGGAAATTCTGGTCTCTGGTGAGCGCAAAAATGTTCTTGTAAATGCGATTTTTCCATGATTCTGACTTGGACGGTACGCAGGTGTACTAAGTTAATGGCCTTGTCAATTTGCTAATGGCATCCGTAGTTGGAGTTAATGCGGTAAGAACAGAGTTGATGGCAGAGACCAACATTCAAGGGCAAATTAGGCCGATGAATCAGCGTAATATGCCGCAGAAATATCGCTACACTGACCGAACATGACGTTTATTGGACATTGTCCATGGACGCTTGGGGGAAGTGCAGCATCTCAAAATCCTATCCTGTTAATGTGGATGGATGGGCGTCGTAAGGGCTTAACATTCTCTCATCACTCAAACTTTGACAAGTGGAGATCAAGGCCACTACTTATCTAGCCCCCAAACTTTGAGTTACCCAACTTTGTTTCCATCCATGGATTCTTTTAACTGTTTACTAGTATTCATGTTTCTGTCATCATTGAAGACTACAGATTACTTTGCCAAATTGTTGAGGTACGGGTCCAGACCTATACCTAAATTCTGTACCTAAACTCTGTTGTTACAGTTAAGTACACAGCCCTAGATACATCCAAAAATAATTTCATCAGGTTGGAAATAGTAGATCATAGGATATTGGAGTTTTCTTTTACACAACCAGTAATGTCTCACCTGCTTACATTTTGATGCCTATATCATATGTCCTACCCAATGTTCTCAGAGCTTCAGACTAGAGTACTGCTTCTTGCCGCTACTGGTATATGTAACTATTACTGTATTAGGAGGGGAGAGAAGCAGTACTCCAGTCAGAAGCTCTGAGAAAGATGTCATATGCATCCAAACATAACCAGCTGAGAGACACTACTGGTTGTATCACAATTTAAAAGAAAACTCCCAATATACTAAGCCTTAATACACTGGACATTCCAGGTACAGGTCCTGTGCCTTAACTCTGTGCTTGCACTTATATCTAGCTGATGCTAAGTCTAGATACACAACTCTAGGTACAAATTACTAGTATACTCACTTGGATAGTCTATCTTCATGACATCCACACCCACAGTGTGTTCCTGCTCTGCTGCCAGCACGGCGTAGTCTCCTGAGTGGGACACGTTGAAACTGAACAGGGCATGATCAGCGCCAACTGTGTTAGTTAGGTACGGTTTGCCCTTCTCTGTTCTACCCAACTGGATATCCTTCCACGGCAGGCCCAACTGGTCACTCACTGCTTTTCTAATCAGGAAACGGCCAGCCTGTAGGTTGAATAAAAGATTTGTCAGAAGTTAGATAACTGTACTTTTAAATGCATCTCCCTTGAAACGACTGAGACAGTTTCTGCATTTATAGTAGATAAGATTTAGGAACTCGAAAGGTAACAAGGCATAATGTTTACCTCGCACATGGTCTAGCCTAACACTTCTTACTTGTACTTGTAACACACTACTGCTCTATTTATTCTTACTGAAATACATCCATATACATTAGTATCCTGCAACTTGCTACATTAGCTACATTGTGTAATTCAACACCAAAGGATGTCTGCTGAATTACTAGTTATCACAGTGACAGCTGTCTGGTCCGGAACAGTCTTTTGTTAGGAAAAAAAAGAAACTGAGCAAAACAAAAGCAAATGTTTTCCTTCTGCAATGGTAGGCATAAGTAGCCTGGTTACCAAACCTATTTGCAGAGAGGTCGAAACAGATTTGGCAGCTAAAATAGGTTTGGTAACTAGGCTAAAACATAAAAACTCCCTGTGAGTTCCATCCTACCATAGCATACTTGGCGTCCTTAGCGAAGACAAACTTGTTGATCCTGTCCTTTTCCTCCTGCTGCACGCATCGTGCTGCCAGTAGCCACTCCTCCCTGCTAGGCTGCCACAGTCCTGTCTTCACTGCCCACCTTTTGGAAATCCAAAACAATCTTTTACAACTAGCATAACCAGACTGAGAATTGGTACACATTGCTTAGAAATTGAGAAAACATACCAGCCAAAAATAGAATGTGTCCCACCTGCAAAGACAACATTGAAGATGAATATCATTTGCTCATGATATGTCCTTCTTATAGTAAAGAAAGGAAAAGACTAATGATCTCTTGTAACAACAAGATAACATTTCTTAAAACAAGTGGAGAAATAATTTCTGTTATTTGCCATATATTGTAATTACCTGTTGCTATCACTGTGCAATAAACTTTGGCTGACTGACCTGATCCCAGACATCAGGAGGCCTGCTGATACCTTCATGTGGTGTCACAGATAGTGCTCTTTGTATGTTTTTGTCCTATGAAGACACGAGTCAAACAACATGTTACTAGTAAGGCCTAAAAAATATAATGTGTTAACAATTAATAATTTCATACTTATATATTTTCTACTATATAGTACTGGCCCTCCAGACTGTTCACATTTTAAGAGCATATGCTCCCAAAACTAAGTCGTACACCTAGAAATCTTTCATAGCTCCCATCAAAACCTGCATGCACTATAACAACCCCTAGGCCGTCCTATAATAACCCCTAGGCCGTCAAAAAGTTAATCTGGGATAATTAGGTAACGTTACACTTACAGACACTTGATAAACACTGGAAGCCACGAAATGTTTAGTTTTCAAACTACTTAACTTGGTAGACTAGAGCCGATAGTCCAAACGACACGCCGCCTTCTTAGGAAATGCATAGCCTGGTTTCTGCAAAACTTGTTGAATTTTCTTAGCACGATCTTGGTATGGGACGTCCCAGGACAACAACTGGGCATCCTTGGGTAGATCAGAATCTCTTCTTTTTTTGGTCAGAACGTGCATTTTTACAACACTTATACGGTCCCTGATTAGGAACTAGATGACAATCTATGCGAATGGCCTTTCAAAGGGACCTAATATTTGATTTAGAGCAAGAAAAACGAAAGTTTTGTGCCTACCCGGAAAATATCGTCTGAAAATCCGCCATCTTGGTCACCACGACCTCTGACCCGAAATGCTGAACGTTGATTGGTTGGCTTCTGTCGTCCCGAAATGGCGGGAATACTTCAATGTTTGAGCAAGTTTCATTTTGATGTACAAATTTACTCATGAATAGAGCGTCTTATGGACAGAAAAACAAAAGAGTCTCTGCGTAACAACCAGTCAGAATTTATCAGGTAGATTGGACACAAGATTCATGATCACTTTGACTATAATTTGGAACTTTTATTCGTTTGCCAAGTTGTGAATTTCAGCATTGCCCACTTTATTCTTATGTCGTCTGTAGATATTTCAGATGACCAAAACCACGTTTTGACGGTATAGTTTAATTACAAACACAAGCCAGCAGGAACTACAATTTCTAGCCTAAAAGACTTATAATTTATATATATATATTTATGGCTTCCTATAATGATAGAGCTCGTATGATGAAAACCAAAGCATCGTTTGTTTGCTAGAGTCACTCACTGGTCGAAAGCAACAACCATAGCAGTGCATTTTTAGTGCATTTGGACTTGGGTGTTACTCGTTATCCTGTACATCCCGTCTGTCTTCTAATTGCGTGCATCTTCTGGCTTTGAAAACGGTCTTAAAAGTCTCAAGGAATACACAACAAAGTCTACTAAAAATTTATGACCCGGTCTGTCCCGACATGGATTAAGGTTATAACAGGCAGGTCCCCTGAACGTAAAGTAAGGATGCGAATCCACGCTTGTGTTTTCGTCGGTTAAACTCTGTCAACCGTATCATTGCGTGGCTTTCCTTCTGTTGCGGTAATAAAAGACACAGGTCGTTCATTTGTTGTGTGTTTTTCTCCTTGTTTTCCAGCGGAGCGTGTCGTGCAATGCCTGCAGGCTGCCTGGTGAGAGTGTGTCTGGAAGTAAACCACACGCTCCCTGGCCAATGTCACCCGAAAGTGGATCGGATCCAGTTTTATATCATTTGCCTTTGTCGCCGTGCGTGGTGGGGAAGAAGTCCACACGCCCCGCAGGCTGAACAGTGTAGAACTTTTCCCGCAACACACACGGACGGGTCCCGCCGACTTCAAGTCCCAGGAATGAACTCTCAACAGTGCGGGTCCTGCTAGTACACCTAACTCGGCCGCCCAAGCCCTGTCAGGACTACGCGCGAGAGCTCGCACCGGTAAGTCAGCTGACTTATTTATCCATCCCACCAATCAGGCAATAAGTTCTTCCCGCTCTCAGACGCTCAAGAGTTTATCGAGGGGCCATTAGGTCCAGGATGCGCAGTGGTGCCAGCCAGTCTTGGCGGCTAAATTCCCAAGGCACCGCTTGCGAAGCACTTAAACACCCGAAAGCTCCGGCTAGAAGGGGCCTTGTTCTGTGGATTGTAGCCAGGAAGGGAAACATATTGGCCAGACTTACACAGTACTAACTTGTTGATGCGTTCAAACGGTTAGAGTTGCAGCCACTTTAAAAGTGAGAAGCCAGTTCAACCTACAATGTCATTACATACACGTACTTTGCTGTGGCGTAGCTACAGCTTGCGCTGTAATAGGCACAGAAAAACGTTTTCTTCAAGCACGTCAGTCATTTAGTTTGATTGACACCCAAAAGGTATATTTTAAGCGGTCAGGAAAACGCAATTAAGCAAAAAGCTAAGTTGTGGTGCCCCCCTTTTGATCTGAATTCCAGTACTTCATTTACGCAAGTTGGTAAAGCGCTGTCTGAAGTCTGACGGCGTTTCGCGAAGAGGGCGACTTTTTTTTATGGCAAACCGAAAAAAAAGTTACAACTAAAACGGTTTTTAAGATAAGCGAGAACAAGTTAGAGTAAACATCTCGAAGTTAAAGAGAACTGATTGTTCGGCAAAAACGTCGGAGTGAAAATAGCATCCCTTTCTCCGTGGGAACGCACTCAAGAATACTGGGCAGCGACAGGTGACAGAAAGCAGAACCCCCGAATCAGTGCGGGAATGTGACACTACCTTCAGTCGCACCTCGCCTTAGTGCACCCCTGCACCGTGCACTATGCGATTTTTAATAGTTTTCTTGACCCTTTAAAGAGAGGTCTCAAGCCAAAGTTAACAGCCGCCATGTCTATACCACAGCGGTTGACGAAATTCCCAGCTTATAAAGACGTTATCTTAAAGCTTGTTTTGCCGTAAACACAACTCCGTGACGCAGTCACTTCAACAGAGGTTGAGTTGTGGATATCTTACTGCTAGGCGGGTGACAGCCGTATAAACTTGTTACTTCCAACGTTTGGAGATAATAGAATTAATAGCTTGGGTCAGGATCTGGACATTCTGAGACCCGGGTGTGTGAAACTAGACCTGACAGGTTAGTTAATGGCGGACATAGCGACGTCTCCTTCCCTCGTGGCGCGAGTGCTACGAAAAGTGGACAGTCGGCAAGGTTTAGAGAGAAAAAGACTTGTCCTTGTGAGCCAACAACGAAGGGATCCAATAAATAAATATGATTTAACATTGCAGGACAGAAATGCATCGGGACCAGGACGTGTTCTTCCGTTCGCTTGTTGTAAAAGGAGAAATATTTCACCCGGTTTACTCAATAAAAATACATAATGTTACCTACACTACATACGATACATTCACATTGGATGCACATGTGCTGTATGAAACATTATAGAAACGCAAGTAGTGTGTTGGCATCATTATGGCAAAGCTTTATTATGTAAGAATTCAGATGCATAGATATCATCCAAGCTTCATTGATATTATGAAAATTTATGCTTGACATTTTGGAGCACACAAAATGGGGCATATGGGCTACTTGTTTGTGTGATCGTTTTCTCTTGTGAAGAATTTATATCTCTTTGGTATCATTTTCGTCTAGAAATTCCATTTTATCTCTTAGATAGTCTCCTTGTCTAACATAATCATTGAGACAAAAGCCACAACGTGTATCTACGTGGAGACGAGTACGGATAACCTAGTTATCAACCCCATCAAAAGAAACGCTAGTTCGTGTTTACATCATTGAAACAAAATACCTCATGTGTCAGAGTCACCACATAATATGGGTTATCTCTATGGGTCTGATATGACTGTAGAATATGTCATTTTGCGTGTACATTTCGTTACAAGCGGCTATCTTGCAGTTACCTTTCTCGCTGTCCGAAATATCCATTTCACAACTAGTGGCCGTTGATAGAAGTACCAGTATTATTCATAATCACAATTTAAGAATGTCTTGAACCTCTGTTGTAGTAAATGTGATAAAATTGTTGCTCTCTGATAGCACATGACCTTCGGTGGTTTTGTATACATCGTAAACAAGGCGATATGGGTTATCTAAATCTTTCGTCTGTATTTTGTCATCGTCAGTCTTATAAAGGTCTAACTTCGTGCGCATACTTAAGTTTTCGTTTAGATTTATATTTAGTGGTATTGATTCATGCATACCACATACACTGCTGACTTTTTCGTTTGAATTTTAGGGTTTTCTTGTTTTCGTCGGGTTCAAAAATCCGTAGGGTTGGGGGATAGGGTGTAGTGCTGGTGTCTAACCGCTAGAGGTCGCGTTCGCGGCTGCCATGGATCGACCAGTTGCAATCCTTGAGTCTGTGACTGCTTTTAGGAAACTGGTGAAAAGAAAAAAAACACAAAGGACAGGCCATCATCATATTTCATACCTCTACCTGTCGCTCTGAAAACAATGCTCGTAAGGGGATTTATGTTCTCTGTGCATGGAAACGTCCAAACTGGTCAGTAATATACTATTTCTGCCATGCTGACACAGAAAACACGAGGTCACCAAAGTGTTGTGTATACAGCATCATTTCATGACTCACAACATCCACCTTTCACAAAACTCGAGCGTGGCACGGAATCATTCAGTTTACAATATGATTCATTGCAGCTTTGTTAGTCATACAAAATAATATAGAGTTATATTTCAAACCCTATCCAGTTGCTGAGTAACAGTTTCCTTGTGTACATGTATGACATTACCTGGATGTCTAACCTTCATCGTCAAATTGTACTCGTATTGTCGTATTTCCTAGGTGGTAAAAATGATGGTCGGTAACTTTGGTCCAATCGCTTCATCTTTTTGCTGGTCACTATTATGACAATAAGGTCTTACGACGAAGTATTTTCATGTATATGTCAGACTCCGGTCTGGTACAATCGGCGGTACAGAGCCCGATCGGAGTTTCTGTTCAAAGCTGTGTGTCGAAAGAGACTCCGATCAGGATGCTGTTCGTGCGTTAGGGTGGTTTTCCATCTTAAAGTCCTATATTGCAAGTCAATCGATTGATCTAAAATGACTGTCTTTTAGGCGAATAAAATTTACAGACTCCAATCG